TAAAGGTTTCATAGTCTGTAATCTCATATAGGTCTGTCTGTCTAAAAGCAGCATTACAGATTTACCTGTGCCGTGGAAATAATTCTATTCGAAAAGTTAGGAGGAAGGAGACAAGTGGAAGCCTTTGAAAAGTCAAAGTATCAAATGTTTTATTTCTTGCAAGAAGTAAAATTGAATTGGCATTCACATACAGACAGCATGTATATGAGAAGGCGAAGGGCTGATCCCTTTCGCCAGGTTATATACCCTAACACATCCTGAGTAGGCTGCATCTGTTTCAGAAGACTGCCTTTGTTACCTTAAAAGGAAACGTGTTTGTTCAAGATCTCTTGTCGGACATAAATTTGTCTAGACAGAACAATGACATCTTCGTTAAGGTTTCCTGTTTTTAGCTAGAGTTCGAATTCACACCTTTTGCCTGTCTCTGGTTTGATCAAAAGCTGCACACATACATTTCACACTTGAAGTACACAATAGGTCACTTGGAGTACACATAGTCCCTTTGCTACTTGGTTTTCTGTCACACATACATTTTGTTCCAGAAAGCTTAGGCCTATCTTAACTTATGCATTTCTAACAGCTTGGTTATATCTTTAATAATGTCCTTTAGCTTAAAGGTATAGCGGAGGATCTTTCAGAATTTTAGAGAAGACCCGCCCTCTCCAATTTTTTTAAAAATGCACATGCGCAACACTCTATTTGCTCTCGAGAGGGAACGCCTATTAATCACTAATCATAGCTTACATTAACTTTTACTAGCAGTGATTTTAAATGGATTTCTCCAAATAGCATGACAAACTTTACCTGTCTAGTAGAATCTTCGCGACTGCGGCGCACGCCAGCGTGTGAAATATTCACCCAAAATCACTCTTGTTTCTATATTCTGCGGCCTTTCTCTTCTTATCATACACTTCCGTATACATTTTTTCTCTTTCGACCCTCAGCCATTTTCAAAGGAATGGCTGAAACCGTAACTCATCACACATAATACACCTGAAAGTGCACATGCGCAGAAAGCGGAAACTACATAGGGACGAGCACGTACGTCAGCCTTACGTAAACATATCACCAGAATGATTGACATGATGAATGATGACACTTAGGTGGACCAATAGTATAGGCTACCCACCCGGAAAAAGAAAATCCTCCGCTATACCTTTAAGTGAAAACCTTCCTTTAAATGCTTATGAGTACATGAATCCTCAACGTTAATAAAAGTTGCACACATCTAAAAGATAAAAGAACACATCTAAAAGTAGAAACACATCTAAATGTAAAATTTCCATTACACCTGTCAAGGAACTCTATTAAAAGGGCCCCAAACATTTTGTCAGTCCAAACACTTTGCATTGACAGATGTCTTAACTGACTGAGAGATGACTGTAATTTAAGTGAGAGAGCACATTAGAGCCCGAAGTATAAATTCCAGCCAGCCATAACCAACGCATATGCCCTATGTATGCATGTGCAAATTTCTGAAAACAGTACTTTTATGATGTAAAAGTACTAATACTATTATATATATTTATTTATTCTTTTTTTTTTTGGGGGGGGGGGGTTGGGGGTGTCCCTCTTCCCTCTTCCCTCTTCCCTCTTCCCTCTTCCCTTTATTTTACATGTGGGAAAATGCACAACACAAAACTCTCAGTCGCTCAATGCTGCCTTAATCACCAATCAAAATAACACCCTGATCTCACCACGGCTTAATATAAAACACCAGCAACACTATGAAGAACACATGTCTCTTTTCTCTATTCATTATGAAGAAGGTGTTAGCACTAGCATGAGGTCCTCACTAATTGGCCACCAGATGGTCATTATGTGGCATGTTGTGTTAAGGGGGGTTTTGGTGGCTTGTTGCTGAGCACCTGGGGGTGTTTTCTGATTGGAGGTTTTCTTGACAAATGATTTATTCGTGTCAAGTCATTGGTCAGACCTCTGTAGCCACAAGGCACAAATTAAGGGGTAGTTTCCAAAAACGGCAAGGCCGCCCACGGGCTAGAAAGACTTATTTACACAATGAGTATTTAACAATGTAAGGGGTCAGGCCATTCATTTGATTCGCTCTTTAATAATTCAAAGCACAAGTTAATGTAATGTTTTGGTAAAGCTATAACTTCAATACATATCTAGAATGTAGGCTCTTTCTTTTTATATGTTTTGTCTGTATATATCCTTAACTCAACATTTAACATTCTCTTTTAATTCTTCAGTCAGGAGCTTTTCAAGGCCAAATCCCTAATTAAAGTATGCCTAATTTATGATGTGGTGCGCCTGAGTGCAAATATTTGGTTTCACTGTGTCCTATCTGGGGTTAAACCCATGTTACGCACTTCAAAGTTGAAAAACTCTTGCACATGCGCGCGTGACACTCGCCTCTTCAGTCAAGCTGCCTGCATGTAAAGCGGTTTGCTTAATTTACATCGGGTCATGTGCAGAGGTCATACTTGTGATTTTGCAAAAAGGCTTTGCTTGAGGTCACCAGCAAACTTTCCAGATGTGCCAGAATGTCATCAAATGCGCATAAGCAGAACCATGTAATTTTGTGACATGATGATTTTAAAGATGGAAGTTTGGATTCCCAAGTAAAAAAAAAATTCATGGGTAACTCACCATAATTTAGAGTTTAATTATGGATGGATGGATGGAGCTCTTGATAATAAGGTTGGATTTGTGAACATTAATGTTAATGCATTAGGTATTGTGATCAATAAACTATCAACTTTTAAAGCATTTAATAATCTATGTTAAATTTAGTTTATAAATAGGCTTTATTGTTAATTATAATCATTTATACATGTTAATTCATGTCTGGTCACAACGTGTTAACTATGTTAATGTAAACTTGATATGTTAAAAAATGTAGGCTAGAAATGAACATTGCCATGTAAATGCTGTAAAAGTATTGTTCGTTTTTCACGCAGGCTAACTGAGATGCATTACACATCTAACTGTGTGAGCATTAATTAGTTTTATTTGTTTAGTATCAGCACTTCTCTAAATGTTTGCTGATGAGCCATGTCTCTGTTCATGGGTGTTGGAGGGTCTTGATCCAAAACAACTAACCCATGCAGCCCTCATTGTCCTCTACACTGAGTTTTGTGTGCAGAAGAAGCTCAGTTTGTTCAGCTCAATGGAGCATTCTAACCCCAGATGGCCAGGTGCCTGATGGGACATATGGTGAGAATCTATCTACCCCAGGCAGGGAGATGATGGAAGATTCATGGAGTGCTCATCGGCTCTCTGGTACATACCACTTGGGGCCAGGGGTCAAATGAAGAGAAGATTAGACTTCAGTCTGTCTCCGTTTCTCTGACTTGAGCTGTTTTATTTCTTGCGTTGTGGCATTTGTAGACTTGGAGAGAAACGCCATCATGTGGATGTCAGAGTAATAGCAACAAGTAGAGTAACATGGGGGAAGATCTACCACTTAAGTGGTAGTGTAAAGTGCCTTTACTTTTAAATTGTAACATATTTAGATATAAGTTTAGCATGCGCAGGATGATGATGCATCAGCCAATGTGTTATCATAGGAAATAAATAGGAACATTTGCTAATTTAGTTGTAATAGGACAAAATGTAAAATTATTCAGAGACTCCGTACCTTATCCCACTATAAGTTGTCCCCCTACCTGGGGAAAGACGTCCCCCGGCTAAACGTTAAAAGAATGTATTGATATACTTTTGATATAATTCATATTAACATTTTTTATTTATTTTTAAAGTGTCATAAATGTAAAATACTAAATCAACTATTTGATTTAGTTGAATATATTAAACAACTATGGCAGAGAAAGCAGAATCCCAGTAAAAGCGATTCATCTGAAAGTTACAAATATTCTGTGAATTATATAGGCATATGAATATTTACATATTTAATTGCCCATATTTTAATTAAAGATATGTGCATTACAAATTCAATTATTTCACTCAATTAACCTAGGTTTTAATGAAAACAAAGATGTCTGAACTGTACGTCTAACTCATGGAAATACTGAATAATAACCCTATTAATAACAATAATGATTAAATTTTAAAATAATAACACAAGTAACAACATGCCACTTGGGGCCTTCTGTGCCAAAACTTTGATATTCAACTTCATAGATCACTATTTTTCCACAGACACAAAATTAGATCAATTGACCTCAAAACTGGTCATCTTACCCGGACTTACCCTAACTTCCTGTACACAAAAAGCTATGAGCATTGACATTGTGAGAATCAACAGATTACTAAATAAAATATAAGAATACACTGCAATGATTCATTTTGATTTATTTATTCATAAAAAAAAAAAAAACACTTTATAAACGTTTTAAAAGGTTAGGTAAAAATGGAAGTAGAATGCACAGACATTTTGGAAATTACATTTCATAAGTTTTGTGTTGTACCATGGGTAAAAATCATATAAATTAACAGTAGGCCTACGCCTACTGCAATGACTACATGGGTGTAAATAGAAATAGGAGTATACTGTATTGTACTGTTTGTTGTTGTATTTAGATTAGAATGAGGTAGAGATGTTATCATCCCTGCAAGCATGATAAAAGCAAAGCATACTGAGTTTCTGAACTTCACTTCAAAAAGAGCAACATGTCAAAAGCTTTAGCGTGTAGGCTACATTAAAAAAGCACCAGTGACATTTTATAAAAAAAAAAAAAATGTGTTTTTTAAACTTGGTTTCTCATGATGTAATAGAACAACAACAACATAGTGTGTAACTAACAATAGCCTCATTTTCTCAAAGTTGAACTTTTACTTTGCATAATAGGGAAAACATCCTGTTGTGCTTAACTAAGAAAACATTCCATAAGCTTTTACAATGAGGTAAATAAAACATAATGTTGTCACATTCTCGGATGGTATATGAAATAAACCTGACGCCCACCAATAGATCATTAATGAGGTAAGCATATCCTGCTGAGAAAAAAACCTGTATTCTTGTTACCAATTACAAAGTGCTAATGTTCCTGGACTTCACCATGATGTGCAGATGATTTTATTTTTGATTATTTGATTCTGAATATTCAGTTTAATAACCTAGTATCTGGTGATTATCCGCATTGTGACGAGACGCTGCTTCTCTGGTGGACAGCGTTTTTCAATGCTATGGTTGAGCTTATTGGATCATTCAGTCCAAATCGTATAGAGGCCATAGCCTGGAATAACTGGGCCTGAAATTCAGTCTCTGGCTTTGCTTTCTCACAGAATTGCTTCTCCTTTGGAGTGAGATCATTCCCTTCAGGTATCTAAATAATGAGATAGGACATGATAAGCTGTTCATTCAAACCGATAAATTGACACAGTTCTACACTGCCACCACATGGCACAAAGCTGCATTTTTTTTAATTATTATTATGATCATATATATATATATATATATATATATATATATATATATATATATATATATATATATATATATATATATATATATCCCAGACAGCATAGTGTCGGCCCACATCTGGTATGGATTCCACACGGCCCAGATGTGGGCCGACACTATGTTGCTGTCTGGGATATATATATATATATATATATATATATATATATATATATATATATATATATATATATATATATATATATATATAATGTTATTAAGCATGTATACTTTGACAAGGTACTGTTCTTTGTCGGAATAGTAAACAAAAACAACAACAAAAAATTATGAGGGCGAAAAAAAACCTTACTTCAGCAGACACTCTTTGCAGCCATATTTTCTCCTCATCTGTAAACTCCATCGCAGAACTGAAACCTGCAAATAATGTCTCAATTAATGATGGCAGAATAATTAGGTTGTTGCAAGAAATTAGACATTTAACTATTAAATGTAAAATATTATAGCCTATGCTTTGACGTTTTAGCCTGTTAGGGTTTCTATATGAGCCAATTTGCCTAAATTAGGCTGCCTAGTGCCCCAAAACGCAGCTTAAAAGCCCGCTTGTCTGAATCAGACAACAAAACATCATACCAAAAGTCATTTATTTTTAAAGAAAGATGGCACAAGCGAATCTTTTAAACAAACTAGGTTTTTGTGTGCAGGCCTATCTGTGCATCAAAATGAAAGTGAAATTAAAATTAAACAGTAGGCTAGGCTAGCCTATTCGCTTATTTTTCTTTGCAATAAAATAGTTTGCAAGGAGAATAAACGTCTCAAATTAAAATTTGATTGATAATGTGTCCTATAACCACTCTCACCTTTAAATGAGAAGATCTGCATTTTAAAATTGCCTGGCTGATTACAAGTATACATTTTAGTACAGTATCGAATGTCGTCTGGCTCATAATGTCCTGTCATAACATTTCTTTCTATACATACAAAAGTGATTTTGACTTACCTTTTAAGGAAAATCCTTTAACGTGAACAAAAAATAAATATTTTTTTCGTCAAAAGCAGCGGCTTGCTCCTTTTAAACGTTAATGAGGTCTGACCAGTTAGATAGCATCTCTGTTAAACAGCAGAACTGTTTTTGAGAGAACGGGACAAAAAAATAAGTCTATAAATGAGTAAACATTCTGCAGACAAAGATCAGCTGAGTCTCAGCCGGCTGCGGAAGGACGAACGCAAAGCGAGGAGGAAAAATCGATCCTTTCACTATTAGCAATTAAAACAAACTGCAATATGTTCGAAATGAATCGTGTTTAAAATAAAAAATATAAAATCTGCTACTCGTTTACTACTGTTTTTATCCGGTATGATGAACGATCTGCACTCACTCGATTTCCCAGAAATCATAAGTGAAAGTGAAAATAACGTTTTCTGCTTGTTTCACTATTCCAATTTATTATGATAGACAGGAAATATTTAACAGCAGCTTTCAACATATATTTACGTCGTTACAGCAAAAGTGAGACATAAAAGAGTGTAAAGATACCGTTTAATTTCATCTGCAACATATCAGCCCTCTTCTACCCATTCACATATTGATAGAAAAGTCCCTTTCTTATAACAAAGGACAATGGCTATCTGATGAATGAACATTACCAGGATATTTTGAAAAAGTATTGACAGATCAAGTCTACAGACTTTCGGACAATTGACTAATGTGATTTAAAATATTGTCACTGATTTAAAACAGAGTCCCTGAACCACACAGATCAGTTGAGAGGTAATGGATCATCTATACAGAAGAGCAGCACACTGTTTCCCAGTGGCATCTGAACATATGGCATGTTAAGTAAAGGTTTGGCAGAAGGTTTAGGGAGTTCAGAATTCCTCTTCTGCATTTCGGGTTCTTGAGGCCTTCAGCTCCTTGAGGCGCTCCATGCAGTCCGTCAGACTCCTCTCTCCGTGCACCTTGTTGTCACGAGTCCTGACGTTCACAGTGTCACTGCTCTTCTCCTTCTCACCCACCACTGTCATTGCATAAACAGAAAGTTAGAATCACAGGGAATTCATGACAAATTAATACATTCTGTAAAAATACCTGCAGCTGACATTTCTCAATTAAAAATCAGGGAAACAAATGGAAATGCAATTTTAATTTAAAGTGCCCCTTTTATGCCATTTTTAAGGCTATTAATTTTGATTTGAAGGTCTCCTACAATATGTTTAGATGCATACAAGGTAAAAAAACAACACTAATTTTACCACAATAGTGCAGCATCACCCTTTATCGCACAGTCTCTGAAATGGTTCAATGAAGGATTTGGTTTCTTGAAACCTCTCCTTTCCAAGAGCCTACTCTCCTCTAATTGGTCAGATGGCCCAGTTTGTTTTGATTGTTCTACCAGGAATGGCCAAAATGACTTGTATACACAGTGATACGAACAATGGCATACGGTAAAAACGGTCTTTTTGACATATCGACATAGGCGTAATTTGCGTGGGACATGTCCCCACCACTTTTTGAAACATCTCTCGGCACGGATGTAAGCTACCTAATATAAAAGAATCTCCAGTTGATTAGCAATTTGTTTGTTTGTGTTAAATAAGAGGCTCATTGCCGCTGTTATCAGGGGCGGAAGGCAACAGTGCTCTTTTGGTGGCTTTAATCTATAGAGTCTGGGAATTCTGCATTGCATTCTGGGTAGTCGCAGCCATGTTTTAGGACACTCAGGAGCATACAATGATAACATACAAATCAAAAAAGAATAAAACAACTACATTTACATTAATACTTTTTAAGAACTGCTTGCACTCACTCAGAATAAAATGACTAATATTTGAATATTTTAAGTACATTTGTGCGGCCAAGACACTGCACATATCCATCACATACACACTCAAAGAAATCATACGGCCGCCTTCTATCGGAGCACACACAAGAACGAACTGATTGCCACTTTTTAGTTATTAAAAAATAAACTGCAAAAGAGGACTGATATATCTGCTACATCAAATAATAAATACAATACAGCTTGATCTCAGCTAGTGGATCATTTATTCAATCAACATACCTGTATATCATAATATCACCCCTAATTTCTTAATGTTAAAGCATTAATGGATAACAACAGTGTGGCCCTCTGTTATGCAGCTCTGAAATGATTTGTATTGTGAAAGTGCTATAGCCTACTAAATTTTTGACTGGACTTAAATGGAACAAGTACAAGATTCCTTTTACTGAGAGAAGCTGAACAATAACCAAAGAGCGCTATTGTATGAACACGGAGAGTGATCACAATGAGCTATACCAGGTAACATTTCCAGACACACATTACATTTATACAGTATATAAATAATGTTTTTTATACATTATTTATCACGTGAGCACTTACACATTCAAGTGGTTCAGAAATTATGAATCAGTAATACATATGTTATAAATAATAAATATATAAAATGCAAATTATAAAGCCACATTTTGGTTATGTTGATTATTTTCATTGAGTTTTACTTTCACTTGCACCATTGTGTTGTTTCCCAGCTGGTAAACTGAAAAATTGCACTTCATTTGAGCTTTTCCACGCCGATCGTGAGAGCGGCTATGGCAGTTAATAACACAGCACCACTGCAGGTAAACTCATTTAGAATTGTGCTCTTGCAAGCTCGAATAACTCGAACTTTCAAGAAAAAATGTTTTTAAACAAAGACTGTTGTCAGAAGCTTAGTGATGATGACACTGAAGTCATGCGACCGTAGTGTAGTTCGTTTGTAGCCTACATTTAGCTCTTGACTTCTGTTAATGTTATTTAGGCTTCAAAATACATTATCACAAGACCTTATTTTCTGCAATAATCCAAAAGCCAACGGAAAAATCCTATTGGGTTTTTGTCGATGGGACCAGGGTTAGCCTGCAAAAATATGTCATCCCTGCCGCACTCAATGTAGACCATAGACAGGCATTATCCAAATTGGTCAAAAACCTATGTAGGTTCGTGCAGGAAGTAACACTGGACTTACTTGAACAGTTCAAAATTGTTGTTTTTCTTTTGGGAGACAGTAACTCCATTTGTTGTGCACTTTGAAACTTTGCAGACTATTTACATTCACAAACAGCTATATTATACACTTCCCAAAAGGTAATAGCCAAAAAAGCATAAGAGGTGCACTTTTAAATTACTGAGAATCAGTTATGGTTTGCTTGTGTTTTTTTTTGTTTATGAAACACAAGGGCATATATACATAGCGACCTTTATTTTGGCACCAACTATAAAAGAGAAAAATGGGCAAAAACATAATACACAGATAATTTACAGTAGTAAACAGGAACAAGCCATGATTCTTTACAGTGTCTATCCAAATAAAAACATTTTCGAATGTTAAGGTTATGTTGGATCACTTACCTAAAATGAAATTGTACTGAGCTAACTGTGCATTTCTGATCTTCTTGTTCAGTGTGCAGCCTGGGTCCAGGTCCACATCCGTCATCAACCCTCCCTTGTGGAACTCCTGTTGTACCTGAGATTAACAAGGGCTTTTTAATATTCTAATTATGACCTGGTAGTTTACGCTGGAATCAGAGCTAACAGATATTAATGCATCATAAATTTCGAGCAGAACTTACTCTCTGGGCGTACTCATCACAAGTAGGTCCTACGGGCACCACCATCACCTGATGTGGGGACAGCCACAGTGGCCTGTGGGACACCAAAGCAGGAGGATTTGTTATAAGCACATATGGTGTGAGACTAAACTTTATCATGTTAGAGTCTCTTCCTTAACTGTACCATTTTCCTCCATAGTTTTCAGTCAGGATGGCGATCATGCGTTCCACTGAGCCCAGGATCGCTCTGTGGATGATTACTGGTCTCTTCTTGTCATCACCATCATGGCTGAAGACAAACAAGATTTGGTTTACAGGATCAGCAAATTAGACAGCTGACGATCATGAAGTGAAATGCAGGAGGAGTGTAGTAAACAAATCTAACCACAAAATGTCACTGTTGTACAGGGAACAAAAATCACTATTGTACTGAGAAATGTTGTATTGGGAACAAAAATCACTGTTGTACTGGGAACAAAATCACTGTTGTACTGGGAACAAAAATCACTGTTGTACAGGGATGTTCCTTGTTATTGTTATTATTATTATATACAGATGTAATGTTTTCTTGAGTAAACATACCTTACAAAAGTGAGATTGAAACGAATAGGCAACTGGAAGTCCAGCTGAATGGTGGCACATTGGTGATACCTGCCGATCGCATCCTTTATCTGAATATCAATCTGAATGACAGAAAAACACAAAATACTTGAGTTGAGTGTAAAGTCATTTTATAAGCATTCATATATTTTGCTTTCATTATTTGTATGTACCTTTGGTCCGTAGAAAGCTCCATCACCAGGATTCAGAACCCATTTCTCTCCAAAGTCATTCAGGCTGTTCTCCAGTTGCTAAAACAATTAACAAGGGCTTAATGAATTCAAACTGGAAGAGATATGCACAATTCATCATGCAAATCATAAGAGATTAACTGTATTAAAAAAAAAATTATTGAGATGTTATGATAGTGGTAAAATTACACCTTATATTATGTACACCATGGTTCAAAAGTATGGCGTCAGTAGGATTTTTTTTTTAAAATTAATAATTTTATTCAGTAAAAATGAATTAAATGTGACAGTAAATGCATACTGTTACAATATATATATATATATATATATATATATATATATTGTTTTTAAAAAAAATGCTGTTTTGAACTTTCTATTCATCAAAAAAAAAAAAAAAAACTGGGGCATCTGACTTAATAAATCAGGGTTTTCACAAAAATATTAAGCAACACAACGGTTTTCAAAATTGATAATAATAACAAATAATTTCTTGAGCCAAGTCAATATTAGAATGATTTCTGGCATTCTATGACAGATGAATGATCATGTGACAGTGAAGACTGGTTAATGATGCTGAAAATTCTGCTTTGCCATCACAGGAAAAAAATAGTAAATATTAAATTAGAAAACAGTTATTTTAAATTGTAATAATATTTCACAATATTAAATTTTTTACTGATTTCTGATCAAATAAATGCAGCCTTGGTGTTTTCTTTCAAAAACATTATGAAAATTTTACCAACCCTAAACTTTTGAACAACAGTGTATGCAAATTGGTTTGCTTTCATGCACACCGTTTTCTTTTTGAGTTTATGATAAGTTTCAAATTCTACCTTTTCAGCCTGGTCCCAAACTTCAGGTTCTCCTAGGAACTTCTCTGGCCTGGTAGAGAGGTTCAATTTGAAGGTGAAGCCAAACACCTCATACACCGTACGCAGGAAGTTGAGACAACCCTTTATCTCAGACTCAATCTAATAGGAGTAAAAGGAAGAAGAAAAAATGAGAAAAAAAAAAATGAGAAAAAAAAAAAGACCTCTTATTTGCAATTCAAACAAACAAAGTATTAATGTGCTCATGAACTCAACAGTCGTTTAACACTGAAAAATGCAGGGCTCCCAGACCTTTAGACCAATAATTTTCCATGGCATACTAAAAATAACAAAATAATTCTACAGAAATAAAAAGAGCATAAACAGATACCTTTATATTCACAATAGAAATTATGGATATAAGATCTTATTCATTTCAATGACTTCTCCAGGTTTGGGAAATACTTGTTAGTTCTAAAGTTCTTGAGTCTGATTGGCTCAGAGCCTTTTCCAGCCATGCGATATTTTGCCACTATCGCACAGAAACTGTTTCACAATTTGTATCAGTCCGCTTGTTTCTGCCTAATCTATAATGGCAGCATTTCTCACAGCAAGCGTCAATGGCGGAGGAGCAAACCCACTATAATTCTTACAAATACTACTGCTATTGTGTCATGGTATGTAGAAAGAGTAGTAGAATGTAGTTGTTTAGACCTCAAATATGCGATTTATATACAAACATAGCACCTATTTGAAAATTTGTTTAGACCTTTTCGGAGTTGTGAGCTCCAGGCCGTCAGCGGCTGTTCAGAGCTCATGTAGCCTCAGAGAGCGAGTCTCGGCCAGTCCTCGTCTGATGTAGATAGTGGTTGAACATGAGATCTAAATCATTTTGGGTATGTCAAACTGGCAATCTTTGGTCTTATTAATCTATTATTTGTTCCAAACAAATAGATTTGGCTAAGGGCAAGGTTAAGTTTCATAACTTTAGATTTTTAATTCACTTAAATCCTGTACTAACTAGAGCACTGCTTTTGACTGAATTGTTTGCTTGTGCTTATATCCTATTGTACAAACTTCTTATACTTTTAAAATGGCTATAATTGTTCATTTAAATATTGTTCAATAAATGATATTTTATTTTATATAAATAATATGCCATATTTGGTGAGATTGAGAAAGGGCTGTTAAGGATTGTGATTTCAAATTCAGTGAAAAGTTAAATTATTATGCCTGTAGATGGCGACAGAGACTGTCTTTATAAGTGAGTCAGGAGCAAAGAAAGGGACTGAAACAAGGTTGTGAACAAGGACATTATCTTTTCTTTAAACAACACCTTATAAGATGCAATCGACAAATGCATTGACTAGCGCAGTCATAGGAATTCCTCATAACTGTTAAAAGGACA